ATAATGAAATTCATCACTGAGAAAACTCCATTCTTACTTAGCGATATATTCTTAAAGATCGATTTCGATTGATCGATTAATTATCTCCATGATTCATTATCTTAGATCAGCTGTAAATCAATAGACTATAGTGGCTAACATATGTTGATGACGTCACTTTAATTATCTTGAAACAAATTTCTTTCATTTTCGTCATTTTGGAACTAAATTGCTGAGCGAACGGAACGTCAGATTAAAGATTCGAAAACAGGTGTAAGCAGTTCGATCTCAATACTTCTATCTTGCGTTTAAACGAGGTTTTTATCATTTTTGGTTGTCGAGATCATCGAGTCACAAAACGACAGAAAAGATGCGTACGATCTCAAGTAAAAAAGGAAAAAAAAAAAAACTCGCGACGGACTACAGAAGTGCTTCTGCTTCGCAACGCATTAAAAAAAACTCGCGACGGACTACATAAATGCTTCTGCTTCGCATCGCATTAAAAATACACGCTTATTTAATAGCCGCATCACTAGGCAAGCCTGCTCAGGCGCTATTGATGAACCTCAACGATCCAGTAGGCTTCTACAGTTGTATTCGATGCACCATTGAAGGTATATAGTTTTACAGTTTTTATCATTCCTGAAAATACCACTCAAAGAGTCGTATTTATGCGTTACGATAGAAACGGATATCTTATGTAATTTTTAGTTGCATCAGTATAGATGTAAATAAATGAATAATATAGATGTCGTATCGAAGTTACTACTTTTATCGAAATTAAACTTCCACAATTTTTTTCATCGGGGTTACTACTTCGACAAAATGAATCATCGAAGTTATAACTTCGACAGAATAGGTCATCGATTTTACAACTTCGACATAATGAATCATCGAAAAAACTTAAAAACATTAAAGATGGATTTAATTATCTTCCATTGATTATTTATTATCACAAGTTCCTGAATGATGACAACGTGAGTTACATAAGACTTTCGTTTGTTTACATTTGCATCGATTTGTTTTACAACCGCCTTTACAATCACATTTCAACACTCCTTGACCACCAGTGATACTTTGAAGTCTAGCGATTTCGCGTAATGATTTTGGTCCTTCATTGGGAATATCTTCAATAAGTAATGTTGCAGATCCAGATGATTTGAATAATTGATTATAAGAATAATAACCGAATAATGTACCGTTTGTTGTACCTGTGCCGATATTGATGGCATGCTTCGATGATTCTCCTTCCTTCTCTTTCTGTTCTCTTTCCATTGTTCTTATATAGCTCTTGCTTGTCTCTCTTCTATCTCTCTCCTATATATACGTGTGTTATGTATGAAGTTGGGACACGACTAGAGATGTCAGATGACACAATACATCATCATGTCGACGGGCATTGGCGACACTCTCTAGTTGTGTCGTTACACTCTGGATATGTGAAGAAGCGAATAAACATCATTGCTAGAGTGACTGTAAGCTACTCCACCTCTATCCAGTTTGCCTTAATACATCAACTCAACAGAGTCTTGTTGATCGTTACAGTACCTAACTGATATTTTCTATTTTTATGTTCATGATAACGCAAAGAACATTTCGTGCATCAGCTGGACCTCGATCAGCCACCGGTACTGGCACCAACTAAACACACAAATATAAATATGACAAGTCATAATACAGAACTTACCACATTGTCATCAATACTCAAATCATCTAATTGCTGTTTTTTTGCCGTATTTTGTAGAAATTTATCGGCTTGTTGCATTTGGCCCTCACGTGCATCTTGACGATTTTTGTTTGTTCAAATTACTCTTTTACTTAACATAATACTTTTTTCAATAGGACCATCATTTTCTGATACATCATTCATTTGTTGAACAGAATCGTTGTCATCGTTTTAATGGGTTTGTTCAATTTTTTCTTCTTGATCTTGTGTGTTCTGATCAGTTTTTGGTAGTTGTAGTTCACGTTCAAGTTCTTCTTCTGTTATTAAGTTATTATAGATTGATGCAGGTAATGGCATGGAGGCCAAACCAACCTTTGGCTCATGACCAAACAAAACTGAATATGGACTATGTTGTAAGACTCGATGATGGCAAGAATTCTTTTGGAATTGTACAAATCGTAAGCCATGTGACCATTTTTTAGATTGATTCTCACGAATCCAAGTACCTGAAATCAACATAAATTCAATGAATATAATTATTTTACATTTATATTACCTATAAGTTGCTTTATGTCTTGGTTGCATCTTTCGACGGAACCTTGAGACTGAGGATGTCGAGCACGACCATGGACAATTTTAATTCCAGACCACATTTCAACCAATTCTAGAATAACCTTGGTAATGAATTCCCGACCATTGTCCGACTGAAGAATGACTGGGGCACCAAGAATTGTGAATATGTCCAGTAGTTGATAGGCTACTTCAGCAGCAGTTTTTGTTTTTAAAAGTCGAAGAATGCAGAATTTAGTGAAATGATCTTGATAATTCATAATAAATTTAAATGGTCCATCAGGACATGATTGCATGTCAACTAGATCAATTTGTCCACGAGCATTAAAATCATTAGAAATAACTGGTTTAATGACTAATTTTGAAGAATTCTTTGGCATTGACCGTTTCCTTTTACATTCTTCGCAACCAGAGATAAACAAAGTCACTTGTTTCTCTGTTATATTAACGAACCTTTTCTTTAGTTCTTTCAATGTGTTAACAATACCACGATGACCAATTAAAACATGGGCTTATTTTATTACATCATACAATTCGTCAAGTTGAACAAAATACTTGATTATACCATCACTAAATTCACCATCCTTTTTTGTTAATTTTAATTTTCCACCAAAATCAATTACATCGTATGTCTTTAGAAAATGCATTTCTTGTGTGTTACGACCACCAGGAGTTTTTAACTTTGCATTAACTATTGATTCAATCGTCTGATCATAACGTTCTGTAGAAAACAATGGATTGTTGCTTGAATTATTTTTGTATGATGAAATTTCCTTGTAAAATTGAAGTCTACATTTGTTTATTTCATTGTTGTTGTCTGTTGATGAAGATGGAGAAGCCATTTTTCTGTCTCAGTATCAAAGGTGGTAGTTTTGGAGTTGATGACGATTGTTAAAAATTGTGTATTATATTGTAAAATGAATTGCGCTTGTTTTTCACTCCTTGTATACCATTATTCACTTACATCCATAGGGAGAACAGCGCTAATTTCGCTGAAATAATGTTGATGATTCATTCTGTTGAAGTTGTAACTTCGATAAACACATTTCTATAGAAGTAATAACTTCGACGACGAAATTTGTCGAAGCGGCCACCTCGATAAACTATTTTATCGAAGTTGTAAAATCCATGACCTATTCTGCCGAAGTTATAACTTCGATGATTCATTTTGTCGAAGTAGTAACCTCGATGAAAAAAATTGTGGAAGTTTAATTTCGATAAAAGTAGTAACTTCGATACGACATATATATAACTTACGTTAACGTTGTGGAACTCAAGGATGTACAGTATTGTTATACGATTATTCACGAGTTTTATCTTTGAAACAGTATTCTGAATGACTGATTGCCCATTGAACAAAATACGCTATAAATTTTAATGGAAGACATCGTTTTATAGGTAGAATTTTGTCTAAGCTTAGAAAAAATTTACCTATAGGTCACCGAATACCATGAATAAACATGAAGTATATCATACATGAATTCAATTGCTATTCTATGTTAACAAATTTGAGACAGCTTGTATTTCTTCTAGATCATGCGAAACATATTTTTTTACATTTATTTTATAGGAAAATCGATAGAAAGTGGCAATGGAACGATTCGAGCTTTTGTTAACAATACAGAAAGTAACATTAAAAAAAGAAATAACATGTTATACGACAAACATCTACTAATATTACCACGAGTAGGAAACAAATAAAAAAGCTGTTAGCGCAATCCCTGCGGGATTAAAATGTGAAACACGATGAAACTCCTTTACTGCACTAAAAAAAAAAAGGTGCCATACGAAACCTCAAATGTATCCGATTTTTGCAACCAAATCGAAATCCTTTGAGGTTTCGTAGAAATTGGGTTTCGTAAAAAGCCTTAATTTTAATAGCTGATAACAGGGGTTTCATATTTGGGGTTCCGTATAATTCACCACGCAGTATTGAATGAAAGATCCGCCGGGTGCTATGCTCCATTATGGAAGTAGTTTTCCACCACTATCCACTGCAAAACACACCCATTCTCTAAAAAAGAACCGAGTTCTGCCCAGGTCGTGGACGTACGGCGGGAAACGGCCGGAAAGCACAGGAAAGCGCTGGAAACTGGAAGCAGTATTCCAGTT